AAAGACAAACCACATGCTGGTATCAGAAAAAACTGCAAAAGTTGCCACCACATCTTTGCACATCAACAAGATACAAAAGACGCATTAGGACATGAACAGCCAGCACCAGCATCATCTCTCTCAGCTGGGATATTGAGACATTGTCTCTACCTTCAATACCTCCAGCAGAGCCTGGCCATCCCCCAAATGAGGTAAGAATGGCTCCATGCCTTAAAGCATGGGAAAAGTCTGCCAAAAAGGAAGGGGGGGGGAAGAAACCAAACCAAATAAACACCTTACAACTGGTTTCATAATGATGATTCTGCTTCGCTTTCAGGGATAAGTTTACATTTAGCTTCCTCATTCCTGCCCTCCACACTGAGGACACGTGCCAGCTGTTTTATCTGCCTAACACTGCACAGCGTTCTCCCATGTGCAAAGGAACACAGCCCCTGACAACCACTTCTGATGCAGACTGCAAAAACAAACTGTGATCTTTAAGCAGATGCCATGACTCATGGAAAGGGGAAAAAACAACTACTCCCAGGATTTCTTCCTTCTTAGTTTCAGTAGTCTTGAAAATAATAGAAAAAAAATTTCAAAATTATTCCATACAATTGAAACTCCTGATAGACTTCTGCTGGAAGGAAACAGAGTCCATGAGAAGTATCACTTCAAGGTAGGACTCCTCTGAAGAGCAGACCACTCCAAACTGGATTTGGCCTGCCTTTATTTGTCATGGAAATGCAGGACAGCCTGCACAGAAGTGCCTGACTTAGAAAGTGCAGGGAAGAACTTTAGGTTTCAAAGGCTATGTTAAAAATAATGAACCTTTCACAGCAAAATATCCAGTTATTGAAGTTGCCACACTGAGATGGAGCAAGCACAGGCCACTTGACATCCTTTGCAACTAAGTTGTCTCTTTTCTACGAGGGTACATCAAAATCATAAAAAACTTAAGTAACACTTTCACCAGCTTAGGTTATGCACTTCAATTAAGTAAAACTGAGTCCCGATTTCTAAACAGAGTTTTTGTTTTAGTACTACCTAGATGCACTCAACTAAGGAGTATTTATTTCACAGGCACTTCAGGCCAGCCACAACACACTCAGGGGTCACCTGCATTTTGCGCCGAGCACCGTTGTTGATCCGTTTTTATCGTCTGAAGGCTCCATGAGCATTACCGCAGTTACAGCAAAGGGCTCTCCAAGATCGTTTTGAGGTAACTTTTCAGGTAAGAAACTGAACCGAAATGAAGAAGGATGCGGAAGAACACGCAACACGCGAAGCGCGCGGCGGTGCAGGCC